ATTTCAGTCATATTACAATATTAGTTTACAATGTCTCACTTGACCCAATGTAAGATTGACCAGGCTTAGAGCGTTGTTTTAAAGGATGTTAGTTTTGGTTGGACTACGGTAAGCTTAATGTTGAGGTTTCTATTTGTTATATCTTGAGTCGTATGAAATGAAAAATAATATGACAGCCGCAAAACGATAGAAATGATAACCGTAAAGTCAGTCATTTATATTTTACATAGATACACGAGAGACCATTAAAAAAGGAACAATGTTGAACCCGGAAGATGACAATCCAATAAGTTGTCTCCTGTTGGCAAATAGAAGGAAGTAAATTAATGAATAGCCTCGTGCGAGGCCGATGCCTAATGGGGTCTCTGATGAAGTGAAGAAGTATGCCTTGATCAAAGTCATCAAGTCAAATATAAGCCACTTGTATCCATTATCAACAGACATTTGAAAATGTTTTCCGTATTTTGAAACCCTCAGCCAATCTGACAAGTGGTTGTTTCTGTCACCACAGAAAGGTGACATGCGAGAAAGCTTCCGGCCTGATCGCACACAGCATCGGTAAATATTTTGCTCTGTTTTGTTTGATTGTGCCAGACCACAGGTACTGTAAGTTGGAGATACTGAATACCTTTAATTCGGGATCGGCTGGAGACATTTTGTCTGGGAAATCAAAGTCTTGCTGAGTTTTATGGCGTTTCCTCCATCCGTGTCCGATTAGATATGCATTACCTGAAATTAGCATTTTCAGTTTAAGTGGTTTAACATCGTCCAAAGACGCACGAATTTATTTGGAATTGTAAAAGCATGTGCAGTTTCTATACCAACATCCCTTTGACATTGTAACATTAACTTCACACTAAACTTGGGGATATCTGTATGTTGGTCTAATAGCAATCTCATAGAACTGCCACATGGACATCATGGAAGTAATGATTTCCCAGGCATACGAATGCCTCGGTACTTTAACAGATTAGGCAATGACTTTGTAATTGATTAATTCAATCTTATAACACCACTGTATTCACATACTTAAATTTATAACGCGTTAGTTATAAACGACACTTGATATGTTTCATATAATTGTCCTTTCAACGAGGTATTTTGCCATGAACGGGTATCAAAAATGAATCCAGTTGACAAAACATTAAAATCCTGTGAATCCGGAGGAAAGTGCTCTGTATAAGAGTATTCCTAAATTTGCGATTATTAAAACTTAGTAGTACGGGAATCGAGTCGGAGCAGGTTATTGCAGTTTTGATTATATGTGACAACTGGACCTGCATTGGTCACCTCGGGTCTTGTATTGGTAACCGATACAATAACCGTAAAAACATTCAATGTTGTATCAATGGGATCCAAATACTAGAGGGGACGGTTTCTGGTATGATAGGCTCAAATATTTGCTCTGTTCGAGTCGTCTGCCTTTTTTCACCAAGTAGCCAAACATAATCTCAAAACTGTGCATGTGCTATTAATTGGAGCGAAGAAGCACACCTCCCAGAGCCGTATAGGACCATCTCGATGTACGCTAGTTCTCGGTTGGGTAGAATCTGGCTCACCCTTGCCAACTTGTTCTCGGTTGGGTAGAATCTGTCTCACCCTTGCCGACTAGTTCTCGGTTGGGTAGAATCTGTCTCACCCTTGCCGTCTACGCTCACAGAGAACCACATCATGGATTTTAAAGTTTTTTCGTGAATCATTAATTAACACCTTTGATGCAGATACCACGCGATGATACCTACGATATCTCATTATTCATCGTGCGAGTGTCTCCGATTATATTATATTGTCCATATGACTGGGAAATAAACCATCATATTTTCTCTTGCTCGGTCATATTTCTCTTATTCAGAGCATTGCTATAAAAATGAACAAGAGGAAACAACTTGAGTTTAAATAACTAATGATGATGATGATCTTAACTGTTACGTTTTTGTCTATGAAATATATGTATTGCCCGTATGGTTTTCCAGGATAAAGGTATAAAGAAGCATATATATTTGAAATTGATCTATATGTTTTGTCAGTCTGTCAATGTCTACATCAAACTTGTATTGCCGTTAAACAAATCTATTTATCATTCAGTTCTTCACATTATAGGAGACGCGTTTAAATTCATAAACAGTCCCCGCTTACACCTGTAAGAATGTTATTGATCGAGAACCAGCGGGATACCGTCAGTAAACAGGCAATTTAAATAATTTAATATCAATCTTCTTTTTTTATTTTGCTTTAGGGAAACGTCTGAAACACTCAACAGTGTTCCATACATTCCTGTATTGATAGACCAAAAGTAAGGCTTCCTATTTCATACAGTAATATCTACATTTGCATGGCATTGCCACTATATAGCCTCTTTGAAAGCTGTGCCGTTGATGGGACTTTAATTACCATGCATCACGAGACACAATTCTTAGCGTATTAATACAACACTGACCGGAACTACAATATCCAATATAAATAAACATGACGGCTGCTGAAATATCGCTGGGCATTGTGAGATTTGACAATGTCATTGTAAATTTATGTGCAAAATAAAAAATAAAAAATAAAATACTTTTATTACAACGAAAACAAGACCAAGGTCTGCAATAATATCGTACAAAATGCACATCGGTTGAAATCACCGATGCCGGCAATGGAAACAATTTTAACGCACATGCAATTTATCAGAAATATCGTCTGTTACATTGCACTGAACAACAGGGGTTCGTTATAAATGTTTGAAATACACATATTCTATAGACCTACTGACACATATGTTACAGACCTACTGATATGAGTCACAGCACACATATACGTTTCAAACATTTGTAACGAACCTGTTGTCCGTCGCAAGATCACTCACTTCAAACGCTATTAGTTTCACGCGTCTCGCATCCACGGTTCCTCAGTTTCTGACGACATGTCAAATGACGAGTCTGTTATATAATTTACCGACTGTTGTCAGGTTCCCATACAATCAACAAATAAATTCACGCCTGGATTCTTCTCAAAATGAGCAAAGAGAAAAGTTCGAATTAACTTCCAAAAATAACTCCCTCGTGGAGGGAACGTTCGGCTTTACGGTGTTCACTGTATTTGTCCATGCGCGAAATTTGTTGCGGGGGAAAATCGGAACAATTTCAAATCTAACTTTCAGCTCCGAGTTCTGTTGATAAACTTAAATCACCCTATATACATATCATACGCAATTGTATTGATACTGAATTGTGGAATAAAATTGAAGTGTTTGTAAAAATTTCAAAGTGCTACTTTGTTTGCCAATCAGCACGCGACAATACGCTGTTCAAACTATTGAACGAAATTGTGGGGACTGTCGATAAGGCGGGCATTTTTAATTTTACATATAAATTATAAGTTAAAAAAGAACATAATTTATTTAAATGACACAGCTTTGCAAGCAAACAAATCATAATGCAAACACACACGCATACACTATACGCATTCATCTTGCACACAGGGAAGGCCGTCCTTAAATGACCATAGCTGTTGATAGGACGTTAAACAATACTTAACCAAACCAAACCAAAGTGTGAAAAAATCAAGAAGTGTAAACCATTTATTGAACTCCTCCTGGGATAAATAGGGTAGAATATGAACATGGAAACAGCGAGAACGTTGAAAAGGAAAATAGAGAATATGGACCAGATATTCTAGAAAGTAAGTGACGTCCGCTTCATTAGCGTGGTCATGGAATGTTTTTTTTAGGTCAAATCCCAGTACACAATGTAATGTCAGATCCAAAACGCTATAGAGCATAGTCAAAAACGTCGACATTCATATCGCACAAGGAACATAAACACTTTTACAACGAGATCATGGTTGTGACCATATAACTTGACCATATTCTTCATCAGCCAGCATCTCCCGAAACCCTGTGCTAGATATCGAATACGTTTGTTCGTCATCACTCGACGGACAAACGTAAACATCGTGATATTCAGAGCCAACCATGGGCTATCGAATTAACGGCAATATGTAAACACCATAGTAGGGGGAGCGATAATTTTACCAAGAAAAGAATCGCCCGTGATCAGAAAATCGAAATAATCACATTTATGTTATTGCTCACTGGTAGGCTATCGATGCTGATCATGTTGTAAGTAAATATGCAAGTACCTTGTACATGTAAGATGCTGATGTAGTCGAGTCCGTAGCGGCATCGACTTTAAATTCTGAAGATCTATACGATCGACATTGTCATTACGTTTTTTTAATTGAGAAAAATGCATCGCAGAAGTATACGAATAACCTGTATGAGTCAACCAAGAGAGGACCGCGTTGGGTATACTTAGTGTCTGCAGATATATATATAAGAATCACGATAACGATACATAATTTTCATTCAGTATACTTAGGAATACATTTAAGAAGACAGAGGAGAACAAATGAGGAATTCATTTAAGAAGACAGAGGAGAACAAATTAGTATGTTTGCTACAACAAAAATAGAAACCACCATATACCATATTGGACGAAATTTCTTGTTCTTAAAAACAATATTAATGTCTTATCATTTTTAAACAACCTAATCAAAACTTATTTAACGCACCTGTTATCATAATAGCAAAATTACCTTCAAAAATAAAAAGTATATTAACAAAAAGTATTGGATATTTGCTGTTTTTCGCATTGTACGATAAGAACGATAGGAGAAAACTGTTGTTGTAGATATCTTAGTTCACTTGTTGTTTTAGATGTCTTAGATCACAATTCATATGTGTCAGACATACAATCGATAAGTACCTACTTGTAACTTGTAACATGAATGTTTTCCTTCTATCATTGAACTTACAAGTGCGGGGAGAGATAGATTGTCAGCTGAACATGATTTTACAGTGGCTAGTAGTACCGTGTACTGTAACTCGTCTAACCACTGATGCCCTGCAGTATCAAACAAGTACCAATTCGCAGCGCCAAAAGTGGTAATGAAAATTAATGGTTTGAGTATTTTAACGACGGCGCTGGCTATTTTAACAATACATGAGGGTATTAAAGATGGCGCAAAGGAGTTTTAAAAGTACGGTCTCCACCGTATAACCGGTGATGGTGAACACATTTTAAACAATATATATTTGCTATTTTGTGTACCTGAAGTATTTGATGTTTTGATTATCATCATTAAGATACACCTGTATTCGTGTGAATGTTGGACATTTTTGCATTGAACATCGGCTTTATTGAAATTTGTTTAATTGACCTATTGTGACTTTCCCGAGCATTTCACTGTAACAGCGTCTGACTATACACATTCATATATACATGTATTAAAGTGTAAGATTACATTCTACTTTATTTATAAACCTGACTGCTCACTTAATTTCAGGGTGTATCATCGTTCTTTAGTAACTGTTATTTGTATTTAAATGCACATTACCTAATGTATCTGATTCAGTGACATCTATTTAGGGATTAACAAAGATTGTTGGTGGTTCATAATGTATATACAGGACAAAACTACACTTTGTAAACCTCTGCAAATAGCATAATACACCAACGTGCAGCTTTTTCCGGCTTATATAACCACAGATATATCGGTCATCATCTACATTTAAGTTTAAAAGACAGGAAACAAACACTTTTTAAATGCATAGTTAAAAAATAGTTATGCTTTTATTTACCGAAATCCAGTATTGAAATAAGCGAGGAGAAAATGGTTTCGTCCTCGCTTTCGGTGTGTTTGGTGTAGATGATACGATTCGATACGATAAGACCATTTTTTTTTCAAAATGAGACATACAGATTTGATTGAGTGACCTGTATGTCATCGGTCCATATCAGCTAACACATATAATATGAGTAGGTACATGTACAGAGGTAAATCAATCTGCCTGCCGGAACTAAAATATGAGGGGCAATCAACCAACTACCTTAAGTATAGTACGTAAAGCCATTAAAATATATATCACAGTTCAACTTCAGGTTAGTTTCTGTTCCAACAATAATATTTACATTTGCATGGCATTGCCAATATATAGCCTCTTTGAAAGCTGTGTCGTTGATGGGACTTACCATGCATCACGAGACACAATTCTTAGCGTATTAATACAACACTGACCGGAACTACAATATTCAATATAAATAAACATGACGGCTGCTGAAATATCGCTGGGCATTGTGAGATTTGACAAAATAAAAAATGAAATAAAAAACACTTTTATTACAACGAAATCAAGACCAAGGTCTGCAATACATAATGTATCGTACAAAATGCACATCGGTTGAAATCACCAATGCCGGCAATGGAAACAATTTTAACGCTCATGCAATTTATCAGAAATATCGTCTGTTTCACTGCACTGATCAACAGGGGTTCATCACAAATGTCTGAAATACACATTTTCTATAGACCTACTGACACATATGATACAGACCTACTGATATGAGTCACAGCACACATAAACATTTCAGACATTTGTAACGAACCTGTGCTCCGACGCAAGATCACTCACTTCAAACGCTATCAGTTTCACGCGTCTCGCATCCACAGTTCCTCAGTTTCTAACGACGTGTCAAATGACGAGTCTGTTATAGAATCTACCGACTGTTGTCAGGTTCCCATACAATTAACAAATAAATTCACGCATGGATTCTTCACAAAATGAGCAAAGAGAAAAGTTCGAATTAACTTCCAAAAATAACTCCCTCGTGGTGGGCAAGGTCGGATTAACGGTGTTCACTGTATTTGTCCATGCGCGAAATTTGTTCCGGGGAAAAATCGAAACAATTTCAAATCTAACTTTCAGCTCAGAGTTCTATTGATAAACTTAAATCACCCTAAAGACATATCATACGCAATTGTATTGATACTGAATTTTGGAATAAAATTGAAGTGTTTGTTAAAATTTCAAAGTACTGCTTTGTTTGCCAATCAGCACGCGACAATACGCTGTTCAAACTATTGAACGAAATCGTGTGGACTGTCGATAAGGCGGGCATTTTTAATTTTAAATATAAATTATAAGTTAAAAAAGAACATAAGAGGCAGAGAAAAACGTAAATATTAGTATTGAACTGTTTTTATATGGTATTTATGATCTGTTTGAATGACACAGCTTTGCAAGCAAACAAATCAAAATGCGCTAGCGCGCATTATGTTGTTTGGTTGCAAAGCTGTGTCATTCAAATAGATCATAAATACCATACAAAAACAGTTCAATGCTTAAGTGAACAAATGATTCCAATTCTTTTTCCTCGTAAAAAGAAAATTTATGTATATTTGATTTAATAATTTGTTGTTTGGGTTGGACCTGTAACGTATAGCGTTGACCTTAAGCATATTCCTGGTTAATTTCCAAAGATACCTACAGACAGAATAAACCAGGCTGATCTAGAGGAAGCTACAGATAGAAAACAACAGGCTGATCTAGAGGAAGCTACAGACAGAATACAACAGGCTGATCTAGAGGAAGCTGCAGACAGAATACACCAGGCTGATCTAGAGGAAGCAACAGACAGAATGCAACAGGTTGATCTAGAGGAAGCTACATACAGAATATACCAGTCTGATCTAGAGGAAGCTACAGACAGAATACACAAGGCTGATCTAGAGGTAGTTACAAACAGAATACCCCAGGCTGATCTAGAGGAAGCTACAGACACAATACACCAGGCTGATTTAGAGGATGCTACAGACAGAATACACCAGGCTGATCCAGAGGATGCTACAGACAGAATACAACAGGCTGATCTAGAGGAAGCTGCAGACAGAATACACCAGGCTGATCTAGAGGAGGCAACAGACAGAATGCAACAGGTTGATCTAGAGGAAGCTACATACAGAATATACCAGTCTGATCTAGAGGAAGCTACAGACAGAATACAACAGGCTGATCTAGAGGAAGCTACAAACAGAATACACCAGGCTGATCTAGAGGAAGATACAGACAGAATACACCAGGCTGATCTAGAGGAAGGTACAGACAGAATACACCAGGCTGATCTAGAGGTAGTTACAAACAGAATACACCAGGCTGATCTAGAGGAAGCTACAGACAGAATACACCAGGCTGATCTAGAGGAAGCTACAGACACCATACACCAGGCTGATTTAGAGGATGCTACAGACAGAATACAACAGGCTGATCTAGAGGAAGCTACAGAAAGAATATATCAGGCTGATCTAGAGGAAGCTACAGACAGAATATACCAGGCTGACCTAGAGGAAGCTACAGACAGAATACAACAGGCTGATCTAGAGGAAGCTACAGAAAGAATATACCAGGCTGATCTAGAGGAAGCTACAGACAGAATACATCAGGCTGAACTAGAGGAAGCTACAGACAGAAAACACCAGGCTGATCTAGAGGAAGCTACAGACCCCATACACCAGGCTGATTTAGAGGATGCTACAGACAGAATACACCAGGATGATCTAGAGGAAGCTACAGACAGAATAAACCAGGCTCATCTAGAGGAAGCTACAGACAGAATACACCAGGCTGATCTAGAGGAAGCTACAGACAGAATAAACCAACCTGATCTAGAGGAAGCTACAGACACCATACACCAGGCTGATCTAGAGGAAGGTATAGACAGAATACACCAGGCTGATCTAGAGGAAGCTACAGACAGAATAAACCAACCTGATCTAGAGGAAGCTACAGACACCATACACCAGGATGATCTAGAGGAAGCTACAGACAGAATAAACCAGGCTGATTTAGAGGAAGCTACAGACAGAATACACCCAGAATACACCAGGCTGATCTAGAGGGAGCTACAGACAGAATAAAACAGGCTGTTCTAGAGGAAGCTACAGACAGAATAAACCAGGCTCATCTAGAGGAAGCTACAGACAGAATAAACAAGGCTGAATTAGAGGATGCTACAGACAGAATACACCAGGTTGATCTAGAGGAAGCGACAGACAGAATACACCAGGCTAATCTGGAGGAAGCTACAGACAGAATACACCAGGATGATCTCGAGGAAGCTACAGACAGAATATACCAGGCTGATCTAGAGGAAGCTACATCTAGAGGAAGCTACAGACAGAATAAACAAGGCTGATTTAGAGGATGCTACAGACAGCATACACCAGGCTGATCTAGAGGAAGGTACAGACAGAATACACCAGGCTGATATAGAGGTAGTTACAAACAGAAGACACCAGGCTGATCTAGAGGAAGCTATAGACAGAATACACCAGGCTGATCTAAAGGAAGCTACAGACAGAATACACCAGGTTGATCTAGAGGAAGCGACAGACAGAATACACCAGGCTGATCTATAGAAAGCTCATGTTTCATATTCCTGTCGAATCCCCAAAGATACCTAAAGTCAGAATACACCAGGCTGATCTAGAGGGAGCTACAGACAGAATAAAACAGGCTGTTCTAGAGGAAGCTACAGACAGAATAAACAAGGCTGATTTAGAGGATGCTACAGACACAATACACCAGGCTGATCTAGAGGAAACTACAGACAGAAAACACCAGGCTGATCTAGAGGAAGCTACAGACGCCATACACCAGGCTGATTTAGAGGAAGCTACAGACAGAATACACAAGGCTGATCTAGAGGAAGCTACAGATACCATACACCAGGCTGATCTAGAGGGAGCTACAGACAGAATAAAACAGGCTGTTCTAGAGGAAGCTACAGACAGAATAAACAAGGCTGATTTAGAGGATGCTACAGAGAGAATACACCAGGCTGATCTAGACGAAGCTACAGACAGAATAAAACAGGCTGTTCTAGAGGAAGCTACAGACAGAATAAACCAGGATGATCTAGAGGAAGCTACAGACAGAGTACACCAGGCTGATCTAGAGGAAGCTATAGACAGAATAAACCAACCTGATCTAGAGGAAGGTACAGACACCATACACCAGGCTGATTCAGAGGATGCTACAGACAGAATACACCAGGATGATCTAGAGGAAGCTACAGACAGAATAAAACAGGCTGTTCTAGAGGAAGCTACAGACAGAATAAACCAGCCTGATCTAGAGGAAGCTACAGACACCATACACCAGGCTGATTCAGAGGATGCTACAGACAGAATACACCAGGATGATCTAGAGGAAGCCACAGACAGAATAAACCAGGCTGATTTAGAGGAAGCTACAGACAGAATACATCAGGCTGATCTAGAGGAAGTTACAGACACCATACACCAGGCTGATTCAGAGGATGCTACAGACAGAATACACCAGGTTGATCTAGAGGAAGCGACAGACAGAATACACCAGGCTGATCCAGAGGAAGCTACAGACAGAATACACAAGGCTGATCTAGAGGAAGCTACAGACACCATACGCCAGGCTGATTTAGAGGATGCTACAGAGAGAATACACCAGGCTGATCTAGACGAAGCTACAGACAGAATAAAACAGGCTGTTCTAGAGGAAGCTACAGACAGAATAAACCAGGATGATTTAGAGGATGCTACAGACAGAATACACCAGGCTGATCTAGAGAAAGCTCATGTTTCATATTCCTGTCTAATCCCCAAAGATACCTAAAGTCAGAATACACCAGGCTGATCTAGAGGAAGCTACAGACAGAATACACCAGGCTGATTTAGAGGATGCTACAGACAGAATACACCAGCCTAATCTAGAGGAAGCTACAGACACCATACACCAGGCTGATCTAGTGGAAGCTACAGACAGAATACACCAAGCTGATATAGAGGAAGGTACAGGAAGCTACAGACAGAATATAACAGGCTGATTTAGAGGATGCTACAGACACAATACACCAGGCTGATCTAGAGGAAGCTACAGACAGAATACACCAGGCTAATCTAGACAAAGCTCATGTTTCAGTTTTGATATTTATTGATATCAAGCCGATGAGCGTAATCTTAAGTCACCGGAGACGTGAAAATGTGTTAAGAAATAATGACTTCAGGGATCACATATTTTCGCACAATATTCACGACATGACCGTTCTATCTGCTATCATATGACACTCGTTATATCAAATGTTCTTCTAAAACGTAAATAACAGGCACAGTGTAATAATCTTCTTTTCCATGGGGATATTTATACATGGAAGAACAATATTTCCACAAAGAAGTAATAGTTGTTGGATGTAAATAAACAAAACAGTATCTAGTAAGAATGACTGTCTGACGACACATCAAACGTAAGTCTCACGTGCGCTTGTGGCTAGTAAAAACAAGTTAAATCGTTCAACGTATTTCAACTTTAGTTATATCTAAAAAATTCTTGAGACGGTATTTTCTTTAAACGGTGTTCTCTTCCTTCATTGCTACGCTATCTACGACACAAATCTCTGTCATGAGTTAGGCAATTGCATAAATGTACTGTTAGTGTTATTAATTTCCCTTCAGTCATTGAAGACTGTTTACTTTTCACACTCCTAATTCATGCGTTATTCGTGGAAATGCTTTGCAGAATATGTTGTCATGAAATACATGGCTTTTGTAATACTTGTTGGCCAACAATTCACGAAAATAACACGGTTTCACATGTTCATGAATTGGCAAGTGTTTCCAAACCCGCAGTCATTAGCGACAGAAGTACCAAGTCTCACTGACTCATCCGTTTTACAAAGACATTTCATTTGAGAACCTGAATATCGTCATGTTCCAGTTTTATGTTTTTTTTCTCGGGACTTGAGGACAGGACACTTCTAATAGAGACGGTACTTCGTCTTTGAGTTTAGGCGTAATAAGGGTGTACACATGATGTCGGGGAATTGTTTGTATTGTATCGTGTCGACCATGTGAACGTTTGTCAAATCATAACTTGTCTATACCATATCTGCATTTAATTAGCATTTTGGATATTCGCAAATACTTTTTTTGTCATTGGAGCACCTGCTCGGGAATTGAGAAAAGAATACACTAACTGTTACCCAATTCATGATCGGAAAAGGCGATTAATGTTAGAACTCTCTGCAGAATTTGGGATTTGCGTTTGTGCCCTCAACTTTGAGATACAAAAGCGACCGAAATAAGCTTGCTGCACACATCGCAATATTTGGAATCTTTGTATTAAAGTCCTTAAAATGAGTAGTTGTTATTAGTTGCCTTGCGTTCCGCATTTAGGGTGATGGCAACAACTTGTTCACCCGTCGTCAATATATTTTGACCTAGTGGAATGCTGTGCTCGGTGCCAGTACTAAAACGTCGGCATCATTTCCGCGCTATTGCAAAGAGGCAAATATACCAATTCATACCGTAAACTCTGTCTTCAGCACACATGCACACATACAAACATGCATAACAGAAATGTGGGCACGTTCTTAAATGATCGTAGCTATCGATAGAACGTCAAACGGCCCTGTCCAACAAACCACAGTTTGTTATTTGGCATCGATAATTGACATTTGCGATTTTCCAAATAAATTTCCATATAAAATAAACATATATATATCCTTAAACTTAAACAGTTCATGTAACGTGATTCCACACATTCAACGAGGTAACCTTTCATCCCAATTTAGATTGGCTTGATTTTTATATGGTTGAAACTTCAAAGTACCTGTAATTAAAAGGGGTTAAAGTGGCTTACAAGATGCAAATAGAAAAGTGCATGTTGGATTTTTGAAACTAGTAGAAACCTGGCACAAACTTGCGTTACTATTTTAACCAGGGAAGGAAAACAAGCTCGAGGCGGTGGTTTGGTTAGTGCTTCCTCGAAATAACGATAATTAGTTTTATACATATGTGAGAAACAAGGTATACAGATCAATGCTATTCCCAACTGCGACCCTTACTTTTTACTTGACAACTTGTTTGCCTTTTTATACCATATTATTTTGGTCGGAAACTTCAACTTGGCATAGTGATATGTATACGGAATTAGGTGGCCGTTCTCCCAGTTATTGACAGAAGAAAACGTTACATTTTGCACAAACGTTATCACTGTATTAAAACTTAAGTTGCATAATAACATTAGGTTATTATACAACGTCATATATTGTCCATCTATTGATGACGGCATACTACTCAATGTAGAATAACATTTTTTTTCTGATATAATGTACTTGCATTTTGTCAATTATAACAGTATATATTGTGTACACATGCGTACCTACTTCGGTGAGAAGATCAGTCATGCTGTCATCGTATAAAGTATATATTACTCTATCCTACATAATGATCGAACTGCCATTTTAAAGGACTTTAGTATGTCCCGGCCTTGGGACTTATCCATCGCCTTTTACACCTGGGCGATCATTCAACATTAAAGCCGCGCACGGCACTAGGGAAATAAATGGAACTTAAATACTGCAAGCGGATTTATTTTGGGCAATTTTGTGTCCCCAAAGAGGGCACAAAAGCAAATCCTCAATTCTGCAGGGGGTCGTACATTAGTCGCCTCTTACGATGAATACTGCGAGCAGTGAAAACCAACTTTAAAGAAAGTTTGTCTCGATCATGGCACATAACCGATAACATTTCTCTCTTACACTAAAGTTCCAAACAAAGGCACAAATAAAAGTATTGCCAAGTTAAGCTTTAGCAATAAATTTCAAAAAACTAAATAGACATTGAAGATCCAAAGTGCTGCAGAACCGCACTTTCGCAAGGAAGCAAATATACCAAAATACCGCTCAAATGAAAGTCGTATACATTTAACATACGAAGACAGGGCCTTGAAGTACCATTACTATTATTAGGATGCTAAACCAAATCAACCAAACCAACCACCAAAACCTGTTTGTAGTATACTATCAATAATGTCTGGATGGATGGGTCCTGGTGAGGAATCGTTCTATGTGTATAGAAAAAGATGCACCACTACTGAAACACGAAAATTGTCAAAGGCAAACGTACATGAACATATGCATGCACATGGAAATCTGTTGCTGAGGAATAAAATTCTTTACATTGATTTAAAAAAAAAAGACAAACCTCAAATTTAAAAGTAAAAGCGATTATGGTTAGTTAGATCTTCTGAGACACATAGTTTGCAAGTTAGTTAGAAATGTTTAGATATAACAGATATACCACTTGCTGTGATATGTTAATATAGTATTTTTGTGTTGGCTGAATGTCAATGCAATCTAATTGTAGTGTTTTACTGTAAATGGTTCGTGACATGCTATGCATTGAGGTTAGTCTTCACGCTTCCATAAAGCCGGAGGTAAAATCCGGGGTGTTGGAAAGAAGATACCACCTATTGAACACGTCATGATGTGCCATATTAATTCAAGGGGATAATGAAGGAAACAAACGACCGGAAACATTGTGAACAAGTACTTAAGTATGACAACAACCGTAACACTCTGAAACATCCTGTAGGAAAATCGAGGTTGTGACGTTTTCTAAGATACAACCCTATTTTATTTATAAAACAATAAATTGAACTAATTTATATTCTGTGATTAGGCGAGGACATCCCTTGATTATAACTCATGTTAAACAGATCGAATTTATTCGCAGGAGCATCAGTGGGATAGAACATAAACTATAATTAATTCTGACAAATTGAAAATCTGGTTTGTTGAATGACCGAACGGTAACAGAAAACCCCCTTTGTTTTGCTGTTTTAAAACATTATTTAAAATCAAATTTCAGGGGAATATTGGATGTAAAAGTGTTATTGGTGCGAAGTTGTGTTAATTAATCACAGTGTTTGATAATCGATATCTTTGTTTTGTCATTAACAAAATTCCGTTTTGGAATGAATTGAACTGTGCCATAGACAAGACTAATCTAATTGGTGAAGAATAAGATACTTCGCAAATCTATAATAATAATAATAATAATATACAGCATTTATATAGCGCCCTATATAATTTGTAAAATTACTCTAAGGCGCTTTACAACATATGGATAATAGTAATGGTTATAATTGTGAAAACAAACAACAAAGACTTGCAATCACTTTCATACATTTAACAAGCAATGTGCACATAATTGAACAAATAAAAGGGTGGTATTTACATGACGTCTTTGCAAAGATTCTAA